GTTAATTTATTGTCCAAAAAAAAAAATTTCGGGGGCAACCCACGTGGCCCCCCACCCCTTCATCTCTATTTCTTCAATTCTAGGTCCCCCCAACTTCAAACGGCTGGCTCCGCCCCTGATGTTAGGTGAAGAACTTTTTGTCCCTTCCCCTCCCCCCCTCTCCCCTGTATGTAGGGTCATATTCAGTATAAGTGATGAATAATGCAATTGATAAGAATTTTTTATTTTTTATTTTTTTTAGTATACTATCCAATGTTGTATTGTTCTTTTCACTTAACATAAATATATTGTTTAGTTGTGCTAAACTTGTTATGTGAAATTAGATTTATCTTTATATTTCATACCACGATGTTAAGAATGTGAAAGTATAAAAATGTTGGAAATAAAATTTGTAAACAAAAAGAATAAATAGCATTTTTTTTAAGAAAAAAAAATTGTTTTTGGGTTTAGATTTAAGACTTAGATGAAATACAAAGAACGCGATCACATATTTTTTTTTTTTTTTTTTCCTAGAGATATATATTTGAAACTCGATAGTTAAAACATCTACTTTGATGGAAAATTTATTTTAGACTATAAAGTTATTTAAATTTTCTTATATTTAGAAAATTATCTTAATCTACTTTAATTGTTCATATTATTTATACAAATAACATTATTCTTATTTATATTTATCGTAGGGACATTATCACAGCTAATAATTTCAGAATATTGTTTTATTTATTTACCATACTGGGCAGGAATGCCCCATAGCATTGATGAATATGTACTATACAAACCCAAATGCATTTTCATAAATAAGAAATCAAACCATTAGTGTGAGAATTATTTCCAATACTTAAAATAAAGTATTTGAGATATCCGAATAACAGAAAAATTTATCGGACCTAGACAGATTGCATGGTCGAGTAACTAGGTCGGTAAAAAAAAAAAAAAATTGAATTTAGAGTGTGTTTGGTTGACTTTATTTTCATGATCACACAAATTCCTATTTTTGGAGTGTTTGATTGACAAATTTTTTCATGAAAATTTCTAACTTTTGGTCATGTGACGATATTTTCCTCAAAAATAAAGAAAATATTTTTTGAGAGGGGTAGTTTTTTATTTTTCAATAATTCTTTTTCTTTTTCTCTCTCATAAAAAAATGGATAAATATAATATTTTCTAGATTGAAAATAAAATCAATCAAATACATTTAATTAATAATTTACATACAAATAAGTTTTAGGTAATTCAATTGCCTAGAATTTATTTTCTTTACATACAAATTTCGTGCACGCAATCATATGCACTCTTAGGGGGTGTATTCAATTGAGACTTTAAAAAATTTTGATAAATTTTTTTTAAGTGATGACTTCTGTGGATTTCATGATTTTTTTAGAGATTTGTATGAAATTAATGAAAGTCTTTTATAGATTTTCATTTTAAAACTTTTATACCTTTTGAAGGCTTTTGAAAACTTTCATTTGAAATAAAACTTATGTAAATCTAGTGCAATATTATGAAATTATCACATATGAGGTGGTAGTTCTCACAATTCCTTTTTTCTTTCCCTTTCCCCTCATATAATAAAAAGATATTTTAAAAAGAATAAAAATTTAAGACATCAATTAATTAAATGATAATAATTATACATATAAAATAAATTTAATATTCAGTATTATTAACATAATATACCTTTAAAGAATAAATTAAAAATATAAATTTAATTATAAATTATTTTATATAAAATTTTATAATTTAATTAAAAATAGATTATTATTTTTTTAGAAAAAAATGAATGAAAATAGAAAAAAAGTTATAAGAATACAAGTTAATTCTTTCATAGAAAATAAAAATAAACAATAAGAAAGAGAAAAATAAAAATAGAAACTAATATAATCAAACAAATAAATTTTAATTATAACTCTAATGTGAGAAAAAGAAGGAGAAATATTGAAAAAAGTACATATTAATTTCTTCTTCTTCTTTTTCTTTTTTTTTTGAAAGTTTCCTAAAATCTTGTGATTAATTAGAAATTTTTTTTGAGATTTTACTTTTTGTTTAAAAGTTAGTACCATGGAGACTTTTATAAAAGTCACTAAAAGTTATAAAAATTTGAACAACCCAGAATTCATAGAGACTTCTAAAAAGCTTTAATTGAATACACCATGATTTTCAGAGTTTTTAAAAATTTATAAAAATTTCAATTGAATATATCAATACTTTTAGAGAGTCTTCAAAAGTTTACACTGAATATCCCTAAACTTATTAAATACAAAAAAAAAAATAATTAAATGTTTCAATTGAATACCGCCCATTAGTGATATTGAGGATTATTGGATGTAGGGTTTTTTTACGGTTTAGATTGCCATTTTATGTTTTTGGGTCAAAATTTCAGTATTTTTCTAGATTAACTACTCTTTTGATTCTCCTAACTTTCGGATATTCAGAGAATCAACAAGTTGGGAATTGCTTTTGGAATTCCGATGTCAAATAAAAACTAGGAATCATAAATATGGATTTAAAACCAAGTAAAAAAGGGCACAACAATGCCCATATAACATAAATCATTAAAACCATATCTGTATATCAAAATAAACTTATTTGTCTTATGCTCCCATTAGTACCACATTGAGAAACAAGGACTTGACGAGGCATCAAGACTACACCTCTTTCACTTCCACAGCTGCAGCAGTTTCTTTAACTTCCTTTGCAGCAGCAGCATTGACTCCGTTCCCCTCCTTCACATCCTTTTGCTCCTCCTTGATCTCGAAAGCCGACACCGGAAAGGTCCGGAATAGCCCGGTCGGGGTCTTGAATGTGATCTTTCCGGTGGGCGGATCGTCCACGTAAATTTCATTGAGAGTGATCCACATCAGTAGCTCCTTGGTCTTGACGCCTGTCAGTTTCTTGATCTTGTTTGGCTCAACAAAGGCTGTCACTTCTGGTGCATACTGCACCAGCTTCCCAATTTCCGTAAACTTGTGCTCAATCTTCTTCTTCTGTTTTAGCCAAACAAATCCCGTGTCCTTCACATACCCACATTCTTCTATGTCCTCCAGTGGCAGAAGGCCATTTGGCAACCCAACTTCTGTCAGCAAAAACTTGGATTTTACTTTGCAGATATCATTTCCAGTGTAGAACTCTGTTGCAGAGGATCTAATCTCATCTGTGATTAGGGACATTTTTTGTTCTTCAATATGCTTTGCCTTTTTTGCTGATGAAATATTTGTGTATGAGAGGAAAGGAGGGTTGAGTGGTGCTAATATATAGTAGGGATCTTTTGAATTTACCCTTGGCTTTGTAGAAGAATTGCTAAAATACCCTTATTTAATTCATGGATAATGCCTAGGGATTTGGTCGACCGACGCATCGCATTCAATGGTTCAAACTTATCAGAGAAAATAACTAATGTTTATGGGTCAAAATATTGGGTTGTGCTAGATGTACACCCAATTCATTACATAATGGATTACACCCCCCTCACATGGAGGGGACATGAGGGGGGTGTAATCCATTATGTAATGGATTGTGTACATTTAGACTAATCCTAAAATATTAACGGAAGTCCAAGCCATCATCAAATATAACTATAAACATCCATAATGAATTAAACAAGTTAGATTCTTCAATTAAAAAAAAATTGACATCTTATAATGTTGAAGATAATTTTATCATAGCATCAAGGACGGATTCAAGCAGGGGCGGATTTATAGTGAGGGCAGTGGGGTCACCTGCCCCAACAGTAAATTTGAAAATTCAATATTTTGTCCAAGTTTTTTTCAATATTTTCAAAAAAGTCTTTGTAATTTTCAATTTTTGTCCCTCAAAATTAAAACTTTGTCTCTACAAATCTTATCTTTTAGCTTCGCCCCGAATTCGAGGAGATTGACCAAGAAAGAAAAAAATAATACGAAATTCAAATATTTATACAAAGTACAAGCACACAATAAATTGCAGCACAACCCAAAATAAGTAAATTCACCCGGCCATCAGCCCAAAATGAGATGAGCCTAATTAATTACTGGAGGAACATTTCAGTTCACAATTTTCTAATTAGGTGTTTTAACTCGTGGTCTGAAGCTGATTTGATGAATAGTTACACTTTTTTTTTTTACATATATTATACTTGAATAAAGCTGCAAGTACAGGGAATTTCAACAGAATAAAAACAGGGTGGTGGCCTTTTTTTTTTTTTTTCCCTTCCAATGCAAATCCGCCAAATGTTTTTCCTGTCAAAATTCTGTTGAAATTCCCTATACTTGCAGCATTGCTCTATTATACTTTTAGTTATTCAACTTCTCCTAAAATTTAAATTAAGTCAATCGACCAACATTTTATAATCAAATCGATAACTTCAACTTTAGTGCACAATTCATTAATTTAACCTTTTTTAGTAATACTAACGTTGTATTCCTATAAACGGCAATATTCAACGTCGTATATACATGTAATAAATTATTATTAAACATATAGAACATGCAACATTGTCAAAACTAAAATTGCATGTGATCAATTATCTTTCAATTGATGCATGTCAAGGCTCAATCACTCATAGTACAACCCCGATGCTTGAATTTTCGATCAAATAGCTGGGCACACGCCGAGCCTATTCCACCATAAATGAGGTTGGATGGGGAGAGTTTGAACAAGTCAATTTTGTAATATGGTTTAGAGTGTGTTTGGTAGGGATTTTTGAGGGAATAATTGATTTTTGAATAGTGATATGATGGGAAATGTGTGGTTGAAAAAGAAGAAAAAATTATTGATGTGATGAAAAATATTATTTTATTGAAAAATGTGTGGTTGAAAATGAGAATTGAGTTATATTTTAGGGAAGAATTGATTTTTGAATAGTGATATGATGGGAAATGTGTGGTTGAAAAAGAAGAAAAAAGTATTGATGTGATGAAAAATATTATTTTATTGAAAAATATATGGTTGAAAATGAGAATTGATTTACTGTAAAAAATGAGAATCTGTACCAAACATGCTCTAAAAGGAGGGACAAACAAGCTGTATTCCGCTATACAAATTTAAGACAGCATTTGTTGCTCATTTAAGGTGGAATTGGAAGTAGGGATAGAGGTGGTTGGAAGATGAGATAATAACTAACAATGGTTGAGAGGTTGGTCAAAATTTATGAGGGGGTGAAGAAGACGAGTCAAGTTAAAATCAACCGATCACAACTTTTCACCAATCTATTTGAAAAGTTTGATTTATTACATGTGTATCGTGATGTACGAACACACACTTACTTACCTACTTGTAACGTCACAATCTCTAAATCACCAGCATCATTTTTGGTGGTTGTGAATGTAGGAGTAGGTGGTTCAAGTAAATACGGTGAAAAATGCACCTTAAATTCTTACTATGAACGGTAGATTCGAGACTTACTTCAAATAATCCAAATGTGGTTTTAGCCGTTTAATGTTGCTACATTATTCACCTAAGGAAAATTTGCAGTGAGGTCATCAAGCCTGGTTCCAAATCTTTAAAATAGTCTTGAAGCAAAGTCCCAATTTTTCAATAACTACGGGCTTGAAGGACATCTGGACTACTTTTGCCCAAATGACGGTTAGTTGATCAAAACTCAAGCGTTTAACCATTTTTAAAAGGATCAATAGTAACTCTGCATTTTACACAAAAAATAAATAAATAAATTAAAAAAAAAAAAAAGTTTCTTCATCTTTCTTACCCACCCCCAAAGCCAATCCGTGACTAGTCTCTGTCAATACTCCATTACTCTATCGCGCCCGACATATTTTGAATGGATATTAAGGGTGTGTTTAATGTATATTATTGAGGAAATAATGCATTTTAATTAGTGATATGATAAGAAATATGTGGTTAAAAAGTAAGAAAAGTTATTGGTATGATGAAAAATATTATTTTATTGAAAAATATGTTTTGAAAGAATGTGTGTCAAACAGAAGCTAAATACGACAGTTTCTACTCGTAATACAAAATATATTTTTTAACTCGTGTGATTATGCCAGTTTCAGCATATTTATTGTCACACAGACATTTCTTTATCTAAATATTTTCTTTTATGGTTTTTTTCCTTCAAATTTTGATTGAATTATGTTATTTAGCACTAGTCGCATTTAGTAGTAGTCTAGGTGGCAGTGGAGGTTCACCTAGACTTGTCATGTAAGTAAAAAATCATTTTAACTTCATTGAATTATTAAAAGTGGATCTTCACTATCATCTAGATCGGTGTTAAACATCTGTGATGCTAATAACATTACTCATATGAATTTGTCTACATTTTCACCGTCTTGCATCACCAAATTTAAGACTCGTTACAAACCCACCACCAAAACATACAAACGCCACGTTATTTTGCCTTAAATTCACGGTTTGGCAAAGAGAAAAGCGGAACAATTGAAAAGCAAAAATAAAAAAATAAATCATGCTCATGGGCGAGCACACGAGCTGCTCACCGACAAGCCGCTTCGGCTCGTGCTCATGCTTGTCCTTGGAGGAGCCTGAGTAGCCTATGGATCGAGTTTTTACGAGACGAGCTGCCGAACCGATAAGTCGCTCGGCCCGTTTGCCACCTCTATCTCTAAACATGATTTTTAGAGTTTTCATAATTTCTATTTTGTCCTTCATTTTATACTACAACAAATTTTAATTCATATTATGACCCTGTTTGGGAGAGATTAGATTTTTCTACAATAAATCAATTCTCATTTTCAACCACACATTTTTCAATAAAATAATATTTTCCATCACATCAATAATTTTTTCTTCTTTTTCAATCACACATTTCCCATCATATCACTATTCAAAATCAATTCTTCTCCGAAAAATCTCTCCCAAACAAGCTCTATATCCTTTTATTATTTAATGATTTAAATTTATATATATTTAATTTGATTTGAATATTATTCTTAAATAACATTCGATTATTTATTTTAACTTTATTATTTTTAAATTGTGTATTTAGTGCATTTTTTAAATTTATTAATAAATATAATTTTTAATTTAATAATTTTGTAATAATATAATTTCTGAAAAATAAATTAATTATTGAGAATTAAAAAATAAGGAAATAAAGGAAACAATGTTCATTTAATTTAATATTCGATATAATGGTTAGAGATCACTTTCTAAAATGGTGTAAAAGTTGCACCAATTTGATGTTAATTGTTGGAGATATCCTTAGACCATCATCGATACATTTCTTTAAAAAATGTTAATTTCACATCAAAATGGTACAACTTTGATACTATCTTTTTTAGTCATTTCCAACACATTATACCAAATATTACATAAAAAAAATTTCCCTGCCATTCCTTATTTTCAGTTCTCAACAACTAATTTAATTCTTAAATTATTTAATTAGACATTCTATTACTACTAAAATTACATTTTATAATAAATTTTATAAAAGCATTACACTTAATATTCAAAATTTTATTTAAAAAAATATTACATTTAACATCACAATATAAAAAAAATTACTTATAATGTAAAAGGATATAATTGAAATTAAGATTAATTGAAATTAAGATTTGCTGTTGTATAAAATAAAGGAAAAATGAAAAATAATTAAAATTATATATATTATACCAAACTGAAATTTAAATGTTGTTGGAATATCATTTTCACGCCAATTAGTGTTGCACGTTATTTTGAAGTTGGGTAGGAGATATCCTTCAACGTCAACTTTATTTTTTAATTTATGTTGTGGGCATTGAACTTTTCATTAGATAATTCTATTTAAAGTGGGGTTTTGCATAAAGGTAAAATGAAGAAAATTGGATTAGGGTTTGTGGGTGAGGGTGAGGGTGAGGGTGAGGGTTGGGTAGGTGCGGAAGATGAAGAAATATATCTTTCTTTTTATTTTATTTTTTTATTTTTGCACTGCACATTTTGTAAGGTTTGAAAGCAATTTTATATACTTGGTGTTGGAAAGTTGCCAAGTACTTGTCAAAATTAAAGGTGCCAATTGTTTGGTATTGAGATAATGCTAAATTTTGATTTGTTTGAACAAAAAATATCAAAAGTTAGTATAATTTTATCGTTATAACACTTTTCGCCTTGGGTAGTGATCGAAAAAATCTCGCAAATAGACAGTATCGTATTCAAGTAAAGAATGAGTAAAATATTATTCACATAATGACTAAGTAATTAATCTATTTTCTAATTAAAGCTAACTTTAATTGAATAGAAA